GCAGGGGGGGAGGGAGGGGCAGAGGGAGTGTAGCTGCTCCAGCCCCATCCTCAGCTTGGTCCCCAGCATGGTGGGTGTCTCCCCGGCCCCAACACAGCGCGTGGGGAACTGTGCTCCCTGCACTGCCCAGCGTGGCTCCTCCTGAGCAGCAGCTGGAGGTGGACGCGGAGGAGCAGGGATCAGCCAGGGCAGGGTGGGGTGGGGTGAGACTACAGTGCTGGGTGTACAGTTCTGGGTGCCCCTTTGACACCCGCCCTGGTGGCTCCCTGACTATAGCACTCTGGGCAGTCATCCACATCACATCACCCTCCCCTAAAGCCAGTTATGCTTATTCAGCTCTGGTGAGGCCATATCTGAAGTACTGTGTCCAGTTTTGGGCCCCGCGTTACAGAAAGGATGTGGACAAATGGGAGAGGGTCCAGTGGAGGGTGATGAGGATGGTTCAGGAGCTGGGGCACATTGCTTATGAGGAGAAGCTGAGGGAACTGGGCTTATTTAGTCTGGAAAAGTGAAGATGAAGTGGGGAGGGGGATTTAATACCTGCCTTCAACTACCTGAAGTATGGCTCCAAAGAGGATGGAGCTGGACTGTTCTCAGTGGTGGCAGACAACAGAAGAAGGAGCAATGGGCTCATGTTGCCGCAAGGTTAGGTATCAGGAAAAACTCACTCACCAGGAGGGTAGTAAAACACTGGAGCAGGTTACCCAGAGAGGTGGTGCAATCTCCATCCTCGGAGGTTTTTAAGACCTGAGTAGACAAAGCCTTGGCTGGGATGATATATTTAGGGATGGTCCTGCTTTGAGCAGGGGGTTGGACTAGATGACCTCCTGAGGTCCCTTCCAACCCTAATTTTCTATGAATCTTTGATTTAGACTGTTACCACCATTGACAGGGCTGAATGAACTCTTAGCGGGCCCTAGACAAATAAACTAATGGGCCCCAGGCTGACCAAGACCCCCATCCCCACCCTGGCCCCACCACTGCCCATGGGGAGTTGCTGCTAGGAAGCAGCTGCTGCAGCAGTGAGACCAGCAGAGGGGAGGGGAAGGGAGGCGGATGAGGCCATTTGCACCACCGCCATGGAGGGAAGGACAAGGCCCCCCACAGCTCTGGGTTCTAGGCATGTGCTTAGTTTGCCTGTGCATTAATCTGGCCCTGACCATTGGACAAAGGTGGAACCAGAAAGGTTTGGTCTGATCTTACCCAAAATCAGGCAGGAAGTCACTAGGACACAGAGGC